ACATAGACCAATGGAACAGAATTGAGAACCCAGACGTAAATCTATGTGTCATGGCTTGAATTGTGTCCCCCAAAACATCTGTCAACTTGGCTGGACCATGGTTCCCAGTATTGTGTGTTGTCCACCATTTTGTCATCTGATGTGATTTTCCTATGCGTTGTAAATCCTATCTCTGTGATGTTAATGAGGTGGGATTAGCGGCAGTTATGTTAATGAGGCAGGACTCAATGTGCAAGATTAGGTTGTGTCTTAAGCCAATCTCTTTTGAGATATAAAAGAGAGAAGCAAGCAGAGAGACATGGGAATCTTATACCATCAAGAAACAAGAGCCAGGAGAATAACTTGTCCTTTGAACCCAGGGTCCCTGCACTGAGAAGCTCCTCGAATGTGGAAGATTGATGGTGAGGACCTTTCTCCAGAACTAACAGAGAGAGAAAGCCTTCCCCTGAAGCTGGCACCCTGAACTTGGACTTCTGACCTTCTAGACTGTGAGAGAATAAACTTCTGTTTGTTAAAGCTATCCACTTGTGGTGTTTCTGTTATAGCAGCACTAGATAAGACAGAATTTGGTACCGAGACATTGGGATGCTGTTCTAACCAATACCTAAAATGTGGAAGCAGTTTTGAAACTGTGAATGGATAGAGGCTGGAAGAGTTTTGAAGTGTCTAATAGTAAAAGCCTAGATTGCCTTGAAGAGACTGTTGGTGGCATTATGGACATCAGACAGTTCTGGTGAGGGCTCAGAAGGAAGTGAGGAGAGCTGTTAGACTGGAGGTGGCACAGACAGCGAGAAGCAGCCGCAGAGAAACGGCAGCAGCAGAACCAGGAGACCAGCGCAAGACAGTGCTGGAGCCGACCCATGGAGCGAGAGAGCTGAGTGCCTTTGCACAGGAGGCTTCCTGGCAGATTGGGGTGTCTTTGAGTACTTAATCAGTGTAGCTAAAGAGTATGGGAACACTTGCCCAGCAGGGCAGACTCGGGTAGCAAGGCCAGAGGGGCCAAGAGGCCAAGGAACCAGGCAGCAGAAGCTGAAGAGACAAGGAACACAGAAAGCAGAGCTGCCTCAGTCTCAAAGAGTATGGCCACGACTTCTGGGTCTCAAAGGGTGGAGTCACCACTCAGATGTACTGGGAGAATGAGGCTGCCCAAAGCTGAGGGAGCACAGTTGCCATTCTACGCTTAGAATCTGGAGAGTAGAGCTACTTACCCCATAGGGGTTCTGAGGAGCTGGTAGTGGATTTGAAGTACCAACTTTTTTGTTAGCAGCCAAGCTGTTAACCACTGTGCCACTGGGGCTCCATAAGAGTAGTACTTGTTTAGAATTTAAATTTGTAAATTAGAGCCATCATAAAAAACCCCCAAAACCAAACCCATTACCGTTGAGTTGATTCTGACTCATAGCGACCCTGCAGGACAGAATAGGACTTCTCTGTAGGGTTCCAGGGAGCAGCTCGTAGATTTGAACTACTGACCTTTTGGTTAGCAGCTCAGCGCTTAACAACTGTGTCACCAGGGCTCCATAAAATAGTACTTGTTTAGAATTTAAATTTGTAAATTATAGCCATCATAGCACAACATTAAATTTTATTTGCATACTTTATCTGCATGACTCTTTGTGCCTTCTTTTCAAATGACCTGTACTTCTCTATCTTTTGAACCTCTTAGTTTAAATGAATTGGGCTATTTTGACATTTAGGTGGATTTTTAAAATTTGAGCTTTACATTGAGTACGTGTGTGACCAAAACACTGTGTAATCTGCCCAGATCACCCTGAAAGTTTGGAAAAAATCTTAATGTTTTTCTAGTGATGAGTTAGAAGTGTTTTGGAATACAACATAATAGATTTTATTTCTTATTTTTGAAAAGTTAAAAAAAATTTATGGTCTGCTGTCATGGATTGAATTGTGTCCCCCCAAGATATCTGTCAACTTGGCTAGGTCATGATTCCCAGTATTGTATGATTGTCTACTGTTTTATCTGATGTGATTTCCCTATGTGTTGTAAACTCTATCACTATGATGTAATAAGATGGATTAGTGGCAATTATATTGATGAGGTCTATAAGATTAGGTAGTGTCTTAAGCCAATCTCTTTTGAGATAGAGAAGTAGGCAGAGACACATGGGAACCTCATACCACTAAGAAAGCAGTGCTGGGAGCAGAGCACATCCTGATGCTCCCAGACCAAGGGAAGACTAATGCATCACAAGGATTTTCCTCCAGAGCCGACATAGAGAGAAAGCCTTCTCCTGGAGCTGATGCGCTGAATTTGGGCTTGTAGCCTACTGGACTGTGAGAGAATAAACTTCTCTTTGTTAAAGTCATCCACTTGTGGTATTTCTGTTATAGCAACACTAGATGACTAAGATAGCTTCTTAGAGTACCAGAGGCTTCACTTTTAATAATTAAGCATTATCACTTAAGAAGTAGACAAAAGTTAATAAATTAAATATGTAAGCACATTTGGAGTAGAGATAGGTGGGACAGTGCTATCTTTAGACCTTTGCATATGAAGTTGGTCTTCAAAACATTGGAAAAAGCCCTACTGCATTCCAGGGAAGCAGGCCACCCGTGATGTTCCTTGTGCTGCTAGGCAATGTCGTCCTTCCATTCCTAGGATCCTCTCGGTACTACTTCTTCCATTTCTAAGCATGTTTGTGGGAGGGATAGTGGCTGGGGGAGTTGCGGCCTAAAAACTGCATCTACAGTGCGGACTGCCCTGCTCTTTTGCCAGTCAGAGAACAAGGCATGGATGGTTAATCATGCTATATCAGGGTTTTAGTGATGTTTTTGAGGATGAGAGTCCAATTGCATTATTAGAGATGATGTATGAAAATTAGTATTTTAATGGGAATCTAATATATACAACAGGTTTGTACGGGTGATTCTTATTGCATTATTCATATTTTTTCCTTTTCCTCACTTGCTATCCATTAATGTATATGGTAGAATTGTTGTACCCATCGAGGAGAATAAGTGGGTAATATTGGGGTTAGTAGAGAACATAAGGTTAATATAAGATCGTTTTCTGTGATGTCTTGGAGACAGCAGCATTATATGTTGTCTGCCTGTACTGTTTGGCAGGAGGAAGACAGTGGAAGATGAGAATATGGGACAAATTTGTCTGCTCCAAAGTGGCTTTTGAGAGCACAGTTAAATTTATCATAGAATCTCTCAAGCAGATGAGGTTTGCACAGCACGATTAAGTATTTCCTAAAGGTTCTTTCAGCTTTTTCCAAGTTGAAGCTACTTCAGTCTGTGGTAAATTCCCAAATGAATCCCAGCAAACAGGCTTTTTTTCCATATGGATCAAATAGCATTTAATAAAAGTGTAGCTGTGTATATGTATATGTCTGTAGTCATGCATGTGTAGAAAATAATTTTAAGTGGTAAATCCTGCAGGTCAGATTGAAAAAGAACCTTCTGATTTCAATTGTTAAAACTACTTCTGAAAATAATTTTTGGCAACATGATCCTTCTGATTGAACTCTGCCCAGAGGTGAGTGTTTGGGGGAATGTTTGAAGCAAATTTATGTGGCTGTTTTCTGTGGGTAGTAAGATGGAAAAATAGTAAAAATGAACTCCAGATTTTGCTGGTTCTCTTGGAACTTAAAAATGGCTGACCTAGTCTGGCATTTAAAATGTTCCCTCTTGGGGTGGAGTATAGGTTTGGGAAAGAATAGTACTTGGACAATATTTTGGTGGAAGAGTTAGTGTATAAGGATGGGACTTAAGATTTACACTCCACATCTATATTTTCTTAAAAGAAGTCTTTTGTATTTATAAGAATACGTAAATTCAGGCAGCCCTAACTTTTTTTACCTCGGTGTATTCCTGGAAACCACATCTTTCCATGCACACCCATAAGGCACATCCTGTTTCCCTGTTGGAATAACAACTGATTTGTAGAGTCCTCACTATGTGTGTAGTGTAGACTCTGTACAAAGCATTTTATATGAACCAAGTTTTTAATCTTCACAACAACCTCATGAAGTAGATACTGTCATTATCTATATGTGAAGAAACTGAGGCGCAGAGAAATTAAGAAATTTGCCTAAGGTCACACAGCTAGTTAATGGGACACCAAAATTTGAATGTAGGCAATTGGACTCCAAAGTTTGAGTAATTAAATAACAACAGTATGTTGCCTCTCAAACAATGTTAAAACATTGTTGTGGTTTTTTAAAATAAGGATCTACCAGCCATATATGACCAAGATTATGTTGTAAAAGCACAGACTTTAATTATTTAGTATTCCATGTCAATGACTATGAAACTTGATAATTAAAAAGAAAAATATTCTCCAATTCTCCTAAGACAGATATAAATATATCAATCAGATTGACTATGCAAAGACCACATATAACAGGTAAGATACAGTTGTTTCTGGGATATAAATTTGACTGTAAACTAAGCAAATAAAATTAAAATATAATTAGATATTTAATTAATTTTAAATCTCTGACTTAAACTTTGGAAGGCATTTTGTGACTTGGATAGTCTAATTTTCTCAACAAGACTCCCTAGAAATGTATACCAATATTTTCTTTCACCTTCATATTTGAAGGATAGTGTATGTAGGGTGCAGTGTTCAGGTTGGCAGTTTCCTTCAACAAGTTTAAAGACTCCATTCCATTGTCTTCTGGCTTCCATAGTGTCTGTTAAAACATCGGCTAAATATCTTATTGTTGCGGGATCCAGTAGTCTGGGTGGCTTTGGCTGAAGGCAAAAGAGTGGCTACTTACTTCTGGGCAGACCTGATGGAATTCTAGAGATTAGGGGGTAGCCAGAATTTCCTCTGAAATCAGTGGGGTAAGTCCCTTTGAATGCTTTTTGTCTGTATTTCACTAAATTCCCAGGACAGTGAAAATGGAGTTTGGTTTATGAGTCACTAAACATTATTCTTATACATATAGATCATTTAATCACAATGCCTGTGAACTCACTTCTCTCTCTTTTCTTCCCTCCCTTTCTCCCTCTGTGTCCTTCCCTGCCTACAGCACAGACCCTGTATTCTCATGGTCTATGGAGTGTGGGCCTGCTGGTGTGCACTGGGGGCCCCAGGTGTGGCCATGGTTTTTCTCCATACCATCATCTCCTTCTGTGTGGCCCAGTTCCGGTCGCTGCTCTTGTCATGGCTCTGTTCTCTCCTCCTGCTTTCCACACTGAGGCTGCAAGGTGTGGAGGAAGTTAAGGTAAGTTTCTTTGTCTTACCCTGAAGAAGAAGGCCCTTCTGGCAGTTCCCTGATCCCAGTAGATGCCTTTGTTTTCAGACAAGAGTCTATTAAGGAAAGTTCATGGGGCTCCCCCAAGTGGCCATATGGTATTAATACAGGTGAACCCCAGTCTTGCATTCTGTGGTCTTATCTTTTGTATGTGACTATATCCCAGCCCTTTGGGGATGCCCAGGGCTGACTGACTTTTTACCTTTTCTTCCGGTCTGGTAGGCATAGATGTCAAATGTTGCTGGAACAGAGAGTCAGGGCAAAGGGAAAAGAAAGTAATAGCTCCCACCCACCAGGCATTTAATAAAATTTATCTGTAGAATGCTCTACAGTTTATAGGGAACTTTCATGTTCCTTATCTCATCCGATGCCTAAAATAGCTCCTGAGACAATAAGGAAGGGATTATTCTTCTTCCTAGATAATGAAACAGGTTTATTGAATATTTACTCATGTACGCACTGGAAGCTCTTTTAATTTAGAAAGTTAAAAGAACGTGTGTTGCTCCAAAGGCTACTGAGCAAGGTTTTATTCTTTCTTTTCCAGGAGTTTACATTCTTAGTTTTCTTTTTTCTTAGGCACAGGAACAGTGAATTTTTATTTTGTGAGTGGACACCAGCGATGGCCCAGGGGATGCTGGAAGACAGAGAGATGGCACCCTGAGTTTAGGGCTTTGATGCAATGCTGAGCTGATTGTACCAATCAGTGAACCCTTTGTGCACTGAGTTTTATAGTTCCTGTGATATGTCCTCTGATCTTCTCCCGTGTGGTGAGCAGCATCCCCCGGACAGCCCTAGACTGTCTGGTTGTCTGTGGTGACTTGAATGTCTTAACCCCTGCTTGTGTAATCCAAGCTTAGGACTCAGTAGGACCACGCAGTCTGTCTGTGTATCTTTCCCATCTTCTCTTTCTGGGGTGGTGCAAATGGTTAACCTGCTCAGCTGCTAAAAAAAGATTGAAGGTTCAAGTCCACCCAGAGGCACCATGGAAGAAAGTCTTGGTGGTCTACTTCTGAAAAAAAAGAAAGAACAACCATTGAAAACCCTTTGGAGCACAGTTCTGCTCTGACAGATGTGGGGTCTCCGTGAGTTGGAGCTGACTTGACAACAACTGGTTTTCACTGCGTTTCGTTGGTGCTGGCTCTGCGCTAGCTGCAGTTTTCTCACGTTCACTTTCCATGACACAACGTAGATACCTGCTGCTTGCATGGTTAAGTGATCTGTGCGTCTGGTCTTGTGGACTAGATTATAAATGCTTTGAGGGTATGGTAGTGTCTCCTGGATCTTTTTGTATTTTTCCCATGGGGCTGAGTACGAGACTCCATTCAGGCAAGCACTTTTCCGATGCCTGCCGTTGGAGGGAATGTCCCTGTTGGAGACTTTCAGGGGCTAGGGAATGGGATGGGTGTGTGCAGTGTCCAACATGCTCCATGTGATGTTGGTCACTTAGTTGCTGCTGCTCCTGTTTCCCAGGCTGTGAGGGTCAGCAGCTCTCTGAATGGTATATGATGCTAACAGATCTGTTTCTTTGTGGATGAGGTCCTATTTTACGTCTTACCCTCACCCAGAAACATTCCTTGCACAAAAACTCTTGGGCAGTTGTTGATATTTTTTCTTCCATCATAGTAGAATTGAAACTCCTGGATGTCTTTATTTTTGTTTATTCTTTCATTCATTCATTCACTGGCACTTAGAATTGGATTGTCCTGGATCAGCATAGTAATGGGCAAGAACCTGGACCAGGAGCCAATAGATGATCTGGTTCCTAGTCTTGTCTATTCACTACCGCAGTCTTCAGACTGTAGACAGACATTTAATGTTTGAACCTTAGTTTCATCATCTGGAAATGGGACAATAGCTCTACCCTCTTCCTGGGATTGTTCTGGAGATCAGTATTGTAAAACATTGTGATATTTTGAAAATCTTAGTATTTTTTTAAGGGTATAAACTAAATGTTTATTTGCAGTTGTAGTAATAAAAGCTACTGCTGGTGAAAGCCTATTCTGTGTCAGGTGCTTTGTATGCATTTTTAAAAATAATATTTTACTGTATTTTTAGTGAAAGTATACACAGCATAACACGTTTCCATTCAACGATTTCTACATATAATGTTCAGTGACATGGGTTACATTCTTCACATTGTGTCAACATTCTCATTATTTCTGTACTAGTTGTTCCATTCTCATTAACTTAATCTTACTGCCCCCTAACCTTCTCATCTGTGCTTTAGAGTAACTGTTGTTCACTGGGTCTCATATGCATAAGTTTTAAAAGAGGAAAGTGCTCCAGGGTGATATTCTTTACTTTCTGAGCTAACCTGTTATGTAGTTAAAAGGTGACTCAAGGGGATAATTTCGGTTTAAGGTTTAAAGAGTATCTCATGGCAGTAGTCTTGGGGATTCCTCCAGTCTCACTGGTTCCAATAAGTCTGGATTCTTTGAGAATTTGAAGTTTTGTTCCACATTTTGCTTCCTTTCTGTGAGATCCATCTACTGTGACCCTGATCTGAACATTTGGTAGCTGAGCACCATCTAGTTCTTCTGGTCTCAAGGTAGAGGAGGCTGTGGTTTATGGAGACAGTTAGTCCTACAGTCTGGTTCCTTCACTGATTCTTGAGTTTTCTTCTTTCTCTTTTGAGAAAGAAGTAGAGACCAATATTTGTATCTTAGATGACACTCACAAGCTTTCAAGTATTTTTTGTTGTTGTTGTTGTTATGCTATCTTAATTTTTATGCACTCTCACTGATGAACTGTAGCTAATGCTTTAAGCACATATATAAAAACCTGGACTTAACAAGAGTGAATTAGGTGGCTGATTTAGCTTAACAAAAGATATTTCACTTCCCAGAACTATTAACTAGATGATCATTTAAGTAAGATCTCTCCAGTGTGCTTAAAAATGGATTTGCAATAAAAATAAAAACTCATATACTCCTAACTAACTTTTTGGGGACCTGGCAACTGCAGAAAACACGGTCCAACTGTATCATCTGTTTGAGGATAGTTAGCATCGGTTATGGATGTTTGTGGTGAGTAAATATTCCATTTGTTATACAGATTGGTGGTTTGAAAAATATTGCAGAATGAGAGCAGATGACCAGAAATTGGTTGCCTTATGTTTCCATGCTTTTGCACATGTAATTCTCTTGATCTGAACATCCTCTTGGTTGTTCATCATCTGAACATCATCTGAACCTGTGAAAGTGGTGAAATCCTGGACATGGATTTGAATCCTTGTTCAGTGGTTAGTTTTTCTTTGTAAAGCCTTAAGAGGCACTTAGGACCGAATAACTATTCCTTTCTCTGTCCTAGTTCTAAACCTTGTGTAACCAGTTAACCAGTCAAGTCGATTTTAACTCATGGTGACCCTATGTAGTGTGTCAGAGTAGAACCGTGCTCCATAGGGTTTTCTTTTTTTTTGATTCTTTATTGTGCATTAGGTGAAAGTTTATAGAGAAAATTAGTTCCCATTTGATAGTTTTTACATAGAGAGTTTCATGGCATTGGTTTCATTCCCCACGGTGAGTCAACACTCTCCCCGTTTCTGTCCTTGTTTCCCCGTTCCCTTTTATTCTGATTTTCTATCCCTTCTTGCCTTCACATCTTTGCTTTTGAGCAAATGTTGCCTTTTTGATCTTGTATAATTGATTGTTCTAAGGATCACATTCCTTGTGGGTGTTATTGTTTGTTTTATGGGCTGTCTGTGGTTTGGCTGAAAGGTGGTCTCTGGGAATAGCTTCAGTTCCAGCTTAGAAGGGTGTCTTAGGGCCGTAGCCTCCAGGGTTCCTCCAGTCTCTGTCTGGCCAGTAAATCTGGTCTTTTTTTGTGAATTTGATTTTTTGTTTTATAGTTTTTCTCCTGCTCTGTCGAGACCCTCTGGCTCCATAGGGTTTTTTTTTTTTTAAAGTTGAAGTAGGCTTTTATTTTTTGTGGAGGGGGAGCTTGTTTTGTTTTCTTTTTTTCCTTTAATTAATTTTTTTGAGTGGGCATACATTCATATAATTCATCTCTCTCTGTCTCTTTCCTGTTCTTTTCTTTTCAGTATTCCTACCTATGCATGAATCACTAAACAATATATTGTTTCATTTTGCCAGTGTTAGAACTTTATATTGATGGGATTTTTTTTTTATTGTATGTTAGATGAAGGTTTATAGAACAAATAGTTTCTGATTAAACAGTTAGTACACATATTGTTTTATGACGATGGTTAACAACCCCACGACATGTCAACACTGTCCCTTCTACTTTGGGTTCCCTATTACCAGCTTTCCTGTCCCCTCCTGCCTTCTAGTCCTTGTCCCTGGACTGTTGTGCCCCATTAGTCTTGTTTTGTTTTATGGGGCTGTCTAATTTTTGGCTGAACAGTGAACCTCAGGAGTGACTTTGTTACTGAGCTAAAAGGGTGTCTGGGGGACCATACTCTCAGGGTTTCTTCAGTCTCTGTCAGGCCAGTAAATCTGGTCTTTTTTTGTGAGTTAGAATTTTGTTCTACATTTTTCTCCAGCTCTGTCCGGGACCCTCTGTTGTGATCCTTGTCAGAGTAATCAGTGGTGGTAGCCGGGCACCATCTGGTTGTACTGGACTCAGTCTGGTGGAGGCTGTGGTAGGTGTGGTCCATTAGTCCTCTGGACTAATCTTTTCCTTGTATCTTGTTTTCTTCATTCTCCCTTGCTCCGGAACGGGTGAGACCAGTGGAGTATCTTAGATAGCTGCTCATAGGCTTTTAATACCCTAGATGCTACTCACCACGGTAGACTGTAGAACATTGTCTTTATAAACTGTGTTATGCCAAATGAGGTAGATGTTCCCTGAGACCATGGTCCCCACAGTCCTCCACCCAGCAGTTCAGTCTCTCAGGGAGTTTGGATGTGTCTATGGAGCTTCCATGACCTTTGCTTGTACAAGTTGTGCTGGCTTCCCCAGTATTGTGTACTGTCTTACCCTTCACCACAGTTACCACTTATCTTTATTTGTTGTCTATTTAGTATTCCTCCCTACCCCTCCCATCCCTTACAACCAGCAAAGATTTCTTTTTGTGTGTAAACTTTTTCATGAGTTTTTACAGTAGAGGTCTCATACAATGTTTGTTCTTTTGTGATTGACTTATTTCACTCAGCAGAGTGTCCTCCAGTTTCATCCATGTAATGAGATGCTTCACAGATTCATCATTGTTCTTTATTGTTGCATAATACTGCATTGTGTGTATGTACCATAGTTTGTTTATCCATTCTTCTGTTGATGGGCATCTAGGTTGTTTCCATCTTTTTGCTATTGTGAACAGTGCTGCAATGAACATGGGTGTGCACATGTCCATTCGTGTGACGGCTCTTATTTCTCTAGGCTATATTCCTAGGAGTGGGATTGCTGGATCGTTTGGTATTTCTATTTCTAGCTTTTTAAGGAAGTGCTGTATCTTTTTCCAAAATGGTTGTATCATTATGCATTCCCGCTAGCAGTGCATAAGAGTTCTGATCTCCCCGCAGCCTCCCCAACATATGTTATTTCCAGTGTTTTTGATTCGTGCCAGTAATGCCAGGGTGAGATGGTATCTCATTGTGGTTTTCATTTGCATTTCTCTAATGGCTAGTGATCGTGAGCATTTCCTCATGTGTCTGTTGGCGACTTGAATGTCTTCTTTGGTGAAATGTCTGTTCATTTCCTTTGCCCATTTTTTAATTGGATTATTTGTCTTTTTTTGTAGATGTGTTGGATTTTCTTGGATATTTTAATGATTAGACCTGTGTCTGACTTGTAATGTCCAAAAGTTTTTGCCCAGTCTGTAGGTTCTCTTTTTACTCTTTTGGTGAAGTCTTTTGATGAGCGTAAGTGTTTAATTTTTAGAAGATTCCAGTTATCTAGCTTATCTTCTGGAGTTTGGTTGTTGTTGGTTATGGTTTGTATCCTGTTAATGCCATGTATTAGGGCCTCTAGCGTTGGTCCTATATTTTCTTCTATGAACTTTATAGTTTTTGGCTTTATATTTAGGCCTTTGATCCATTTTGAATTAGTTTTTGTATATGGTGTGAGGTATGGGTCCTGTTTCATTGTTTTGGAGATGGACATCCAGTTTTGCCAGCACCATTTGTTAAAAAGACTGTTCCCCATTTGATGCGCTTTAGGCCTTGTTGAAGATCAGGTGACCGTAGGCAGATGGATTTACATCTGGGTTCTCAATTCTGTTCCACTGGTCAATATATCTGTCATTGTACCGGTACCAGGCTGTTCTGACTACCATAGCTGTGTAGTAGGTTCTGAGGTTAGATAGTGCGAGAACTCTTACTTTATTCTGCTTCTTCAGTAGTGCTTTACTTATGCAGGGCTTCTTCCCTTTCCATATAAAGTTAATGATTAGTTTTTCCATCTCTTTAAAGAATGTTGTTGATATTTGGATCGAGATTGCATTGTATTTGTCAACTGCTTTGCGTAGAATTGTCATTTTCATAATGTTGAGTCTGCCTATCGATGGGCATGGTATGTTTTTCCATTTATGCAGATCCCTTTGGGTTTCTTGCAGTAGTGTTTTGTAGTTTTCTTTGTATAGGTCTTTTACATCCCTGGTTAGATTTATTCCTAAGCATTTTATTTTTTTAGGGGCTATTGTAAATGATATTGTTTTCCTGATTTCCTTTTCATCATTCTCTTTATTGGTGTATAGGAATCCAGCCAATGTTTATATGTTTATCTTGTGTCCTTCTACTCTGCTGAATCTTTCTGTTAGTTCCAGTAGTTTTCTCATGGAGTCTTTAGGGCTTTCTATATATAGTATCATATCATTTGCAAACAGGGACAGTTTAACTTTTTCATTACCGATTTCGTAACCCATTCACCAGTCTCCAGTAGGAGTCCAAGATGGCGAATCTGTGCTGCGTTATTTGATAGGTGACCTCTGCATGTATCTCTCCTCGGTTTCTGTTCTCTGTCAGTTTCTTATTCCATTTGGTGCTTGGCTGAGTTCTTTGTCTCTTCATTTGATGCTTAGGGTTTCAGGATTGACGTGTGTCTCTGTTTGACTTAGTTTTTCAGATCTTTGCTGTGGATGGGTCAGTGTGGTGCTTCTGTTTATAGTGCCATGTTGCCTGGAAGTCTTCCATAGGGTTTTCAATAGCTAATTTTTTGGAAGGAGATCACCAGGCTTTCTTCTGAGGCGCTGCTGGGCGGACTCAAACCTCCAAGCTTTTGTTTAGCAGTCATACGTGTTAACTGTTTACTCCCCCCAGGGACTCCATAACTTGTATGTATTTCCATAATACGTTTTTGCCAATATGAAAGCAATATATATTTATAGAAAATATGAAAAGCAGAGTAAAAGAAAGATTATAAAATGATACCTACTTCTATTCTTCCCAATATTATATACCTACTTCTACTCTCCCCAATATTACATTTTATCATATTTTCTTCTAGTCTTTTTTGTAATGCATATTTTTGTACATGCTTATTACATTTTTACACATGTGACTCCTGTATGAGAATCTAAACGCAATGGGTGTAGGGACTATTTATTTTGAATATGTGTCTCGAAAGCTTATTTGGCAAATAGTGCTCAACTAAATGTGGAACCAAGTTAATAACAGAAAAGCAAATATACATGGACTCCAGACTTCCTGGAGCCATGAAGGTTGGATGAACCCTTGAAACTGTTGCCCTGAGATAATCTTTAAACCTTAAACCAGAAATATCCCCAGAAGTTTCTTAAAACCAAACAATAGTTTAGCTTTGACTAGTAAAAAAATGTCTGGCTTGAGCATTATGCTGAACTGTCTATATCGGAACAAATTGACAACAGCCAACTCGAAAGATTAGATAGGAACCTTAGGGGCAATGAATTTATGTTAAAGGGGGAGGAGCAACTCAGAAAAGGTGGGTGAGAATGGTTGCACAACTTGAAGAATGCAATCAGTGTCACTAAATGGTACGTGTAGAAACTGTTGGATTGGTGTATGTTTTGCTGTGTATATTCTCAACAGCAACAAAATAAATAAAAAAAAGAGCAAATACGAAAAATATGTTGTGACATGTATAAGCATCTCTTTGTCTTCAAAATTGTTGAAGGAGCTGTCAGAGTGTCTGCTGAGTGTAGCTTATCTCCGTGTTATCCATTGGACATATCTGATAGTTGCATACCCTTGAAAAACAGCATTATATTTGTACTAGGCCTAATGCTAAGTTGATGGCTGTTGTTAGATACTTTTCCCTAATGGTCTTTAACTACTTGTTTTGATTACTAATGAGATTTACCTGACGTTTGTTGGCTCTTGGCTTCCTTTATTTTTGAAATAATATTTTATTGTGTTTAAGATGAAAGTTTGCATGGAAAATTAGGTTCCTATTTGACAATTTCTACACAAATTATTCAGTGATACTGGTTACATTCTCCGCAATGTGTCATCATTCTCATTCATTCTGTTGTGGTTGTACCATTTCTAGTACTGTAGTTTCCCTGTCCCTTTACCTTCACATCTTTGCTTTAGAGAAAATTTTTGACCATTTTGTCTACTATAGATTATTTTTTAAAAGAGGCTCATT